ACAGTCTGATTGGTCGGCAATTTGAGCCAGTAAAGGGGGCTTTACTATTCTTAGGTAGCGGAATGACTTTAGCTTCCCTACAGGCCTGAGGGCACACACTTTCTAGTAGGCTTAAATTGAAGATATGGCAAATAGGAGTGGCAATATCGTTCGCTATTATCCTCAGTCATTTTCCATCCAAGTTGTCAGACCACAGTGGCTTGTCATTGTTGATAGACAACAATCATTTTCACCTCTTCCACACTCACTTTACGGAATTCAAATTTACAATGCTTGTCATTAATAATTTGGTCAGATATACTTTGATGTGTAGAGTCAGCGTTTGTTGCTGGCATGTCATGCCTAAGTTTGCTAATCTTGCCAATGAAAAAATCATTAAAGTAGTTGGCAATATCAGTGGGTTTTGTGATGAATGACCCATCTGATTCAATGAATGACGGAGCTGAATTAGCTCCAAAGCTTTTTACTATCATTCTTTATGTCATTTATCTGTTTCATAGTGTAGTTTCTTCTTCTTTTTATTCAGTTTAGTCACATGATTTCTCAATTTGCAGTATGTTTGCCAATCGGTTGTGCAGCCAGACTCATTTGTCGTTCCTCTTGCCTCATCCCTCTCAATTTTCCAATTCCTCATCAACCCACAGGGATTTCACCATTTTTACAGTCAATTTACAGTATTTACAACCCTGAATGAGTACATGTGGATGACAGGCAGATACAGTGACTCTTTGGTGTAATAATGGAAATCTAATGACATCTTGTGACCAAACCATATATTACACATTTGAGCCCACAAATTTCTATTGTTTTTACAAAGTGTCCACAGGGCTGAGACACTCAGGAGTGTTCAGAGGAGATAAATTCCTGTGTATGTGTGTGTATGGTGGTGTGAAATACTTTAATTGATGAGGATGGCAAGAATACTGCGGATGTTTAATGTTTGAACAAAATTGAAAAAACACACCCAGCTATAAACCTGTCGCTGTCTATCAAAGTTTCATGCTCAGCACCTTAAGAATGCCAATACATTATAAGCTCTTTATCTCATAGGTAGGACCACATGAACTGATAAGGAAATAATCCAGGCCCAACTCTAGTAATAACCTAAAACTATGGCCCAGAGTTTTTCCTGGTCAAGTCACATGGTAGGAAAAACTCCTAGCCCTCCTCATAGATTGCGTCCCAATAATCTCTCCTTTCTCCTGAAGTGTGCACTCATTCACTACTCCCCCACTCTCCGCAGAGTCGTCAGAATGCAGATGTTTCTGTTTTTTACAGTATTTTCAACCTAACTTCCGAAAAACTGAAGTGGGGTCTCTGATCTTTCTACGCCTGCTACGTTAGTAGGTTACTACTCCCCACAAATGTAAGAGCATTGGTGTAGGAATGGCCTAGAGGAAGTTTCTTATAAAAGTAATTTCCTGTCAAATCCATGAAGGGTAGTCAACAAGTGCACACTTCGGGAGAAAGGAGTGCTTATTGGAGTATGGAGAATAAACTACTATTTAATTATGCTTTCCATCATCAGCCCATTGGCGTAGCCTGGATTTGGAATGTTAAGCATCTTGACTGAGCCAGATCTGTGTAGAAGACCACCAGTTCGGTGAGGGGATTTGAGTGAACTGAACTGTGGTATTTATCAGCCTGGTTTGCCTGCTTGCTGCAGGAATATGGGCTAATGCAGGGAGATATATTTAGTGGGGGGGGGGGGGGGGGGGGGGGGGGTACTGAGGCATACGGGGGTATGTGTGGCCATCTCTGTCACCCCCCTGTGGGGGAACCCTAGTGGGTAGGATCAAGGTTAGCCGCCCGCCTGGACAGAGAATACCCTGGCATGATATGGGGCTCAACCTACATCAGCTGTTCATGAAAGACAGAGCTGTTGTTGCCATTGTTACAACCTGTGAAACTCACTGTCAAAAGGCAGACCATGGTTTTTAACAGGTCACATCACGTCCTATATAAAGGTTGTTGTGTTCTTAGATGATTCCCATGCCAGAGACTGATTTGGTGCCCTTTCGTAATCTCGATATGTAAAAAAATAAAACATGTTTTCTGGTCACACACCAGATAGGTGCAGTGAATTGTGTTGTTTTACAGGGTCAGCCATAGTAGTACGGTGAACCCTGGAGCAAATTAGGGTTAAGTGCTTTGCTCAAGGGCACATTGACAGATTTTTCACCTTGTCAGCTCACGTATTCAAACCACCAACTTTTCAGTTACTGGCCCAACACTCTAACGGCTAGGCTACCTGCCACCAAAGCATTGGAGCACATTTTTAACAAACTGTTTCAGAGTATCTGTAGGAGGTTTATTCTGGGCGGGGCTGGACATGAACCAGGGGGGTATACTAAAAAGCAGGATCAATGAGTTAGCCAGCTAACTTTGATAAACAACCTGAAATAACTAATGATTTTCGAATTCAAGCTAATTGGTTGTTGAATCAATTAGACCATGCCCATTTCAAACTTGTCCAAAGTTATACAAAGTTATTTCAGAATACTAAGGCAACTGTCAAGTTAGCTCATTGATTTTCCTTTGTAGTATACCCCGCAGGAGAGCTTCATCTTATAACAGGGAAATGACAAAACACAGGTGACAATAAGCCCAGGACTCATGAACAGAACAGGTGATGGCTGTGGTGATGGCCTGTCCTCGCAACGCCTCCTGTGTGTGTGTGTGTTTGTGTGTGTCTCCCTTCCTTCACCTCTGCATCCCTTTGACTCAACTTTTGTTCGTTTGATCAGATTTACAAGCGTAAGCACATTACGGGGGAGCCTACAGGGCAACACATTGAGTCGTCAGTACCTATCAGAAATCATAACGACAGCAGGAAGTGCATGTTGAGAAGGTCTCAGATAGCTGTGTGTGTGTGTGTGTCTGTGTGTGTGTGTGTCGGGTTGCTGCAGAAATAGCCAGCCCACCTGCTGGGGATCACTGAGGGAGTGATGACAGAACATTTGCCTCCACCCCCCTCAGACATTGTTGTCCCTCCTGTACCCCTGTTCCTGTCCCTCGTACCCCTGTCCCATCCGAGAGGGGGATATCAGCTCGGTGACCAATGACAACCCTGTGGATCCCATCCAGTATATGCACTGAGCACTGAGCACATACAACAGTACAGGCCTATGAAACACTACAGTGTACAGCTACATTATACACACTGTGGATTGATTCTGAGTGGCATTGTGGTGACTGATATGTTTCCATGTGTCTGCCTGCTATATTTCCTCCATTCCCTTGAAACTTTATGACATGCCAACAATTGACTAACTATCTAATAATAAATACGGTCTTATAAAATGTCTAATAAATGCCTTGTAAAATACTATAAGAGTATAGTGTGTTTACTAGCGTTTGTTTGACCTCCAAAAAGACAGACCATGAGTGCATCTAAAATGGTACCCTATTCATAAAACGGGTCGTTTGGTTCCTGGATGCTGATTGGTTAAAACAGCATTCCATCCGGTACGACATAAAAATCCTTATTTACTGTTCTATCTGAAGTATCACTACGCTGCCATTGATATAACATGGCTTCACGTTATGCCTAAGAACAGCCCTTAGGCGGGGTATTGACTATACACCACACCCTCTCGGGCCTTATTGCGTAGATATAGGCTAGTGCACTACTTTTGACCAGAGCCCTATGCGCCCTGGTTAAAAGCAGTGTACTATAAATAGGCTGCCATTTCAGACGCAACCCATGTACAGTATAGGCCAGGAGAAGCATGTGGAACGTCTGGAGGATAAGTTTAACAGTTATGTGGTATAGTGCTGGTGACAGGAGGGACATGCCTGTCCCCGTTGTCATAACTACATGTTTTATTATCTGTAGAGTGAGGCCGAGGGAGACAAGATCACAAGAAGCTCTAACCACATAGAATATCAGCTCTAGAACATTGGGCCTAGCAATACTTCAGATATACAAGTTCTTAAAGTTGAGGACAACTTTACTATCCCCATTGGAACTATGAACGTCAGTTTTTTGCAGCATAACATCACATCACACTTTCACATATATCACAACAACAGGCTCTGACAAGTGCCTGAAATAGCCGTGGAAGATTTTCACAAGCCTTCTGATTTGTTGTCACTGATTAACCTCTATAAAACCTGTCACATCAAATTAAAAATGCTTCAACTACTGTACATTGTCACAGCAGCCTATTAAAGATACACAGGTAAGTGCCAAAATAAAAGAAACACTTGAGTAAATGAGGATTCTGGCGGCTCTGTTATGGTGTGGAGTGCATTTTCCTGGCATGGAAAATAAATAAATGACAATAAATACACAGCCATTCTGAGTGATCACCTTCGACCTTTGCTGCAGCATTTCTATCCTGATGGGCGTGGTCTTTTCCAGGATGACAATGCCCTAATCCACAGGGCACAAGTGGTCACTGAATGGTTTAATGAGCATGAAAACGATGTAAACCATATGCCATGGCCGTCTCAGTTACCAGATCTCAACCAATTGAACACTTATGGGAGATTCTGGAGTGGCGCCTGAAACAGCGTTTTCTACCACCATCAACAAAACGCCAAAGGATGGAATTTCTCGTGGAAGAATGGCGTCGCATCCATCCAATAGAGTTCCAGACACTTGGAGAATCTGTGCCAAGGTGCATTGAAGCTGTTCTGCCGGCTCGTGGTGGCCCAAGACACTTTATGTTGGTGTTTCCTTTATTTTGGCAGTTACCTGTATTTTAGTAATGATAGTCAAAATCCCAATAACCAATATACGCATGTATTCTTTTCATTTCAAGACAAGATGATCACTTTCATGGACTTTCATGAGAACATAAACCATACAAGTGAAACATAGAGTATGTATCCACCAAACCAACAAAATAACCCAAACAGCATTACTCTGTTTATTTTCAATGTTCCATAGGAACAAGGGCTTTTTGCAAAAGGCAGCGAGAGGCTTTCACAGACGTTTTCAGACAATGCCATTAAGGCGTTGGTCATGATTTATTATTACATTTAAACCCACAATGTCACAGGAGGTGATATTTCATCCCTGTTGGCCAGCCAGCCCATTCCTGCAGGACCCTGGTGCTAGGCTATATCTGTTGTCCACCCGCTGCCCAGCCCTGCCCAGCCCCACATAAAAGAGAAACCCCCCCCCCCCCATTGTCTCAGATCCCTCTGTTGTTTGACAGAGACAGAGAGAGAGAGTACTGTACCCGACCCAACTGTGGTCCACCAGATTCCAGGTAATACTCATTTGGGGTGGGGATTCTGTGATTCAGAATCAAACTTAAGTATTTATTAAGTTAATGACTTATTTATTTCGTTTCCTTAATAATCACTTAAGTGAATGGTGGCGTTTTGTTGCTGTTGTCAGTGATTTGAAATGATCTGAGGGTTTCAGGCTGATCAGGTAATTCAACAAAGGGAAGGTGCACTAATTGAATTGCCTGGATCGGCTTTCAAAATCTAATTTTCTCTCTCCAACCAAGGTTTTCATAATGGCTGATGAGTAAGTATTGTTATCTGGGACAATAGGTCCGCTTGACTTAATTAATTATGCGTATAGTTCCCTTCGAATAAATTTTGTTATTAATACCGCTTTAATGATTATGTATATCTCAATCTCAGTGTGTTATCTGTTTTAAAAATACATAATATATTTATATATTTAGCCTTAGCCTTATTATAACGAAGTGGACCTATTGTCTTGAGATGAAAAGCCATTTGCGTCTTACAGCTGCAGCATGTTGTAGGCCCCAAGTTATAATGTGTATAATGTATGCTATGTATGTTATAATAACTGCTTCTGAGGGTATGATACGTCCGTTCTACCTGATTGTGGATCTTTTGCAACTGACACATAACAACTCTGTTAAGCTGCCAGTTAGCCATACACTGAGCTAAAACTGAGGGGATGCTACAATGCTATACGCGGTGGAATGGATTTTTCCTATAGTGTCCTTGCCCTAATCTATGGGTAAAAGGATGACGGGGCTTGGGGACAAGGCTGCAACTGTCTGTCTGTCTGTCTGTCTGTCGGTCGGTCTCCTATTACAATGTAATGAACCTCCAGCAGGTTACAAATGATGTTTTCTTTTTACTAATGCTATTTTTTTATTCTGTGTCTCCCTTGTCTTTTTGTGCCCATAAACCTGGTCAAATTTAAGCGAGGTAAGTCTTTTAATATTGATAAATTAACCATCATCACCATCATCATTGTCATGACCATAGTCATCATCATCGTATTAGATTTAGGACAGGAAAAGTCTTCATTCTATTATGACTTGTATGTTATGCCAAGCATTTCTTTCACGTCTAGTTGAATTCTTACTTGCAATTTTGAACAAAGACCAATCAATCAAGAGACAAGTTTTTCAGGCTACCCCTCATAGAAGTGTGTATACTTTGACTATTTTGAACGATGTCCTAACATGTCCCCTCTGTCCCTGTAGGAGCAATACAAACCCAGGCCAATGAATCCCAAGTTAATTGACAAGGTGAGCTAGAGACAGAACCAGAGACAGCCCTAGTTCAACAGTGGTAATCCCTATATAGAGAGGGAACACGTTGTCCCAAGGTTGCCACTTCAATCTTATCAGTTATTGTCAGCTATCAAGGGCCCACATAGCTGAATGTTTTCGAGTGACCACATCCTGACTAAACTGTAACTGGCTCCCTGTATGGATGAGTGCTATAAAGAGAGTTTAAAGTATGCTCAATGGAGAATCTCCATTGAAAGAGCTTTTCATTCAAGGACTAGTTGTGTGCAGGAAACTGGCCCATTGTTAGGTCAATGCTTTAGGTGCAAAGTAGATTTGTTGTGAGTGGCAGTTGTGTGACCACCTAAACCCTTTTGGGACAACACAAAAATGTCCCAATAAAATAATAGGTCACCGATCTTGACAAAATCTATTTTCACTTTCAAGTAGACAGCATTGGGCACACATTTGCAATAACATTGTGTCCTTTTCCCTACAGCCGAAGTCGAAGATTACGGCTTCGCGTAAGCTCTCCCTGAAGGTAAATTACCATGCATTATGTTAACAATTAACATAGATTATAACTAAGTCATTCTTTATTATGGATACAGCTGTAGTGACACCATCTTCCCAGCTACTGCATAGTAGTATCACACTGGTTCCTCCACCTCTGGCCCACCCCTGCAATGACGGATCTTTCTCTCATCCAATCAGATCATGCTGCTCACCAGGGCGATGGAGCAGCTGGAACAGGAGACGCAGGACAGGGATGAGGAGAAATTGCGCTACGTGGGAGAGAGACTGCCCCCCCTGCAGCTCTCTGGACTGTCATTGGCTGAGCTACAGGTGAGAGATAAGAGAGTCAGCCAATCGAGGGAGCAATACGACTGGGCCAAACTAGTGGGCCAACCACAAAGCTAAACAATTGGACTGTAACTGAACAACACTCAAGTAAATATTCCAGCATGGTTATTCTGTCACATATATCTCAATGAGATTGATTCTTCACTCTTAGACAAAAGGGTTCCAAAAGGGTTCTTTGGCTGTCCGCATAGGAGAAGCCTTTGTGGTTCCAGGTAGAACCCTTTTTGGTTCCAGGTAGAAACCTTTTGGGTTCCATGTAGGACCCATTTGGGTTCCATGTAAGACCCTATGTGGAAAGGGTTTTACATGGAATCCAAAAGGGTTCTACCTGGAACCAAAAAGGGTTCTACCTGGAACCACAAAGGCTTCTCCTATGGGGACAGCCGAATAACCCTTTTAGGTTCTAGATATCACCTTTTTCATGTATGATATTTAATCGTAGTGTGTTTCTCTATTTTCTTCAGGACCTATGCAAGCAGCTCCATGGAAAGATAGATGTGGTAGATGAGGAGAGATACGACTGTGAGGCCAAAGTGACCAAGCACAACAAAGATGTAAGTCTTCGGCCCTTTGGGTGAGATGTTATCCTAAGGTCCTGCCTCTTGTGGTGGTAACAAATGGGTGTTAGTCTCAGTGTTGCAGCTGGGTCAGGGACAATTCATGGGTCAGTACCAGTTCCTGGGGTTGGCCCTGGCCGGGATTCGAACCCGGGTGTTGGCTTAAGGTTGCTACAATATTTAATAGTAGATTTCGATTAAATCTACAGATCCATGAGTTGAAGCTGAAGGTGCAGGACTTAGGAGGGAAGTTTAAGAAGCCCGCCCTGAGGAAGGTGCGCGTCTCTGCAGACGAGATGATGAGAGCTCTGCTGGGCACCAAACACAAAGGCTCTATGGACCTCAGGTCCAACCTCAAGTCTGTCAAGAAGGAAGACACCAACAAGGACAAAGACAAGGTAACTGGGACTTGGGCCATGTTTAAATACTTTACCTTGAAGTAATCACTGATCGAACACAGTGCAAATATGCACAATCACATGTTGCGTCTCTCAGTTTGAAACCTCTCTGGCACTAGTAAGCACTGGCTTGCGCAGAGATGGCATAGTACTGGAAACCATGCTACTGTGGACCTCCGAGAATTTGCATCTAATGGTTAAACAAAGACTAACTCCGACCATAACGTTAGCTTATTATAGTAGCTAGCTAGCTAATCAAACATGAGTTAGCATAGCGCTACTCATTGTTTGATTTCCCTCTACACATTGTATGGGGATAGGTTGTAATGTGGCCACATGAGACAACTCTCCACGAACACAAGGAAGCCTGGGCACTAAAGCTAGTTAAACGCTGATGTCTGACAGCACAGTGTTTGTTCCCCTTCCCTCTTAGGTGCTCACGGCTGAGGTGACCGACTGGCGTAAGAACGTGGAGGCCATGTCTGGCATGGAGGGCCGCAAGAAGATGTTCGACGCATCTGGCGGCCAGTGAGCCTTGCTACAGCCTTGGGACGGGAACGGAGGAGGAGCTGTGTAGTCCTTGAAAGCTCTCCGCCACACACCCTACCACAGTACAAAGGCAGCAGGGGGTTAAATTGTGAGGAGTCCAGTGCTGAGGAGTCCATTAGAGGGATTTGTAGTTTTGTAAATCAGGTTGTAGTTCTCTGCTGGAGTGGAGGGGTTTCTATAAAAGTTTTACAGAGCCTCCGATTGCTTTCAGTTACCATTACCAAATATTTGACAACCCTGTACAAAATCGTTTTGGAACCCAACCCAATATTAACAGTGTACCACAAAGCCCTCAGATGAGACCATATGTGGTAGTCTTGGAAACCCAAAACGAAAATATTGTGTAATTGCGTCAGATGCTCAATTAGGTTACGGGGAGAGATGTATGAGATAAGATACTAACGAGACTAGCGAAGTCTCCACCCCTTAAACGGAAACTCTCAGCCAAAGCCCCCCCACTTCCAAAAGCACCATCTTCACCCAGTCCTGATACGTCCAAATAACCAGTGACGGAAAACCACAAAAGCACCAGAACTACTGCTCCTCGTTAGTCGTCACATCCCACAGTCTTTTGACAGACGTTACAATACCATGTTTGTTACATAGTCTGTCCACGAGAGATTAGGAATTGATGCGCTTACAAAGCACATAAAGATGTGAACACCCTAAACACAGAGAGGTCACATAAAAGTTAAGTGAATGATTGGAGTAATGTAGAATAGTGAAGTCATCATAGTCCTCCACTGAGTCAAGCCTCTAGGCTGATACAGTATGTAGTCTTAAAGAAATAGGAAAGGCTTGAGGCTGATGAACGTTTAAGTTGTCAATATCATGATGATTTCCTAATTCATTAAGCAACAGGTTGCTTTCTCGGACTCTGACTCCCTCAGGGCTGATCTCAATGGTAAAACCGCATGATTTAACCCCTCGCTGCCATCCTCACGCATGATCTCTCCACCCTGTCACTGACCACTTGGCCTATCACGCTGGGACAGTTAACCACTTCTTGAAAAGTTGTGTGTATCTCACTATTGCTATTTATTATGGAAGAATAGATTTATGGGTTTTATTTATGGCGTTATAAAAAATGAATCGCCAAAGGTTGCCATTGGTTTGTTATGCGTATTCACATCAGTGTCTAGTTTCAATTGTCTGGTACTCAGTGATCTAATAGAGGCATGTATGACCACGGGGAGCAGCTTAAAGGGATCGTTCACCCAAATAACAAAAAGTACATGTTTTTTCCTTACCCTGTAAGCAGTCTATAGACAAGGTATGACAGCAATCCATGCTTTGGTTTAGTTTCCCTGGCACTGTTTCCAAATGCTAACATTATAGCTTTCGTGGCACAAATCCCATTCAAGTCATGGTACCTATATTAGCATTTTTTGCGCATCATGTCCAGCTCATCTATAAGTGACTTTATTGAGCTAGACAATTCATTTCATATACTTTGGGATGATTTGGACATGATGCGCGAAAAATGCTAATATAGGTACCGTGATTGGGATTTGTGCCACAAACGCTAAAACATTAGCATTTGAAATAAGTGCCAGGGAAACTAAACCAAAGCATGGATTACGGTCATACCTTGTCCATAGACTGCTTACAGGGTTTGGAAACCAATATGTAATTTTTCTAATTTAGGTGAACTATCCCTTTAACTGTGTTGATGGATTTGACAAACGATAGCTTGACAATGCCATTGAAAAGGAGGGGGTTGGAGGACACTAGGGGTTACGCGAGGGAAATTCTTCC